TGTTGCTCCACAGCCCCTCCAGCACCCCGTGGTCATACTCCCTGTACCCCATCCTCATCCATGCTGCTCCACAGCCCCTCCAGCACCCCCTGCATCTCTTCCCATGGCTCCGAGAATGTCGCTCCACAGCCTCTCCAGCACCCCGTGATCGTACTCCCTGTACCCCATCCTCATCCATGTTGCTCCACAGCCCCTCCAGCACCCCGTGGTCATACTCCCTGTACCCCATCCTCATCCATGCTGCTCCACAGCCCCTCCAGCACCCCGTGCGCCCCATCCCCGTGCACTTCACCTCCACACATCCCGCACCCCCCTGCCCTCGTCGCCCCTCGCTCCCCCCAGCACCTCGTCGAAGTCAGCGATGATCTCGTTGAGCAGCCTCAGGCACTCCACGCCCTCGTTGTTGGCCTCCAGCTCCACGTAGAACTCGGAGAAGTTGCTGATGGAGGCGAACATCACGGCCACGCACTCGCAGGACTGGTAGTAGAGCTCGTCGTTGCGCCGCTCCCGCGCCAGGAAATGCGCGGCCACGTCCTTGGGCAGGATGTTGTGGAGCAGCCGCCGGTTGTAGGCCTGGAGCTCCTCCATCTCCTCCTTCTCACCCGTTGCCTGCGGGGAACAGACCCGTGTGGGGGCTGCCAGGGGGGCCACGGGGCCACCCCGGGGTTGGGGCGCGGGGACGGGTCGGTTCTGGTCCCGGGGCGAAGGGAAGAGGGTTGGTCCCGGTCATGGGGTGCAGGAAAAGGGTGGTTCCCGGCCCCTGGTCCTACCTGGAGCTTCCAGAGGAAGTCGAGGCGGGCGGTGGACTCGACCTGCTGCGCGTGCAGGTAAAGGGCCAGGGCGAACACGGCCAGGACGGCGGGGGTGACGAACCGCAGGGCCACCTTCCCCTCCGCGGGGCTGCGGGACCCCCGGAGCCCTGAGAGGGGCTGAGGGATGGCCCCCGCCCACCCCAGGGACCCCAAACCTGCACCCAACCCCAAACCTGCACCTGCCCACCCCAGGGACCCCAAACCTGCACCCAACCCCAAACCTGCACCTGCCCACCCCAGGGACCCCAAACCTGCACCCAACCCCTACGATTCACCCTCCCACTCCAGGGACCCCAGAGATCCACCCAGACCCCAAAGGCCCACCCACTCACCCAAGGGAGCCCCAAAGATTCATCCCACCCCAAGGATGCACCCAACCCAGGAGCCCCACTGCTGCACCCACCCAGGGACCCCTAAAACACACTCAACCCCAAAGCTGCACCCACGCCAGAGACCCCAAAGCTGCACCCACCCTCGCAGCACAGACCCCCCCCCCCAAAAGGCACCCTCCTGCTGCTGCCCACTCTAACCCCCCTGCCCCCAGTTCCCCACTGGTCCCAGTTGCCCGCTCACCACTCGCCCTGGGTCACGTTGAAGGAGGGCCTGTGGGGGAGAGGAGCCGGGGGTGAGCGGGGTGGGGACACATCTCGGAGCTCGGGGACCCCGGGGGGGGGGCACACGGGCACTCACAGGGCGTTGGCCACGACCAGCAGGTCGGCGTTGTCGAAGAGGGCGGCGTGAGGCCCCTCCACCAGCAGCAGGAAGGTGGCCTCGATGGCCACCATGAGCAGCAGCTTCCCGATGCTGCTGATGTGCAGGAAGACGGAGCAGGCGAGCAGGCTCAGCACCACGCTGTAGCTGAAGTACTGGGGGGGGGGACGACACGGGGGGGATGCACTGGGACCCTGGGAACGCCTGATGGTACCCCCAGAACCCCAGGTGGCAGCCCAGGAATCCCTGCAGCGCTCCTGGGAACCTCTGCAGCACCCCGGGCACCCCAAGGGCACACCGGGAACACTGGATGGCACCTCTGGGACCCCTGCAGCACCCTAAGAACCCTGGCAGCACCCTGGAAACCCCAGTCAGTACCCCAGGAACCCCAGCCAGCACCCCAGGAACCCCTGCAGCACCCTGGGAATGCTGGATGGCACCCCAGGAACCCCAGATGGCACCCCACGCCCATGGGGACCTTGCACCCTTGGGGACACCCTCAAGGGCTCAGTGCCAGCACCCGCAGAGGACCTTGGACCCGAGGGACCTGTGCCAGCACCCTGTGTCTGCAGGGACCCTGTGCTGGCACCCAGCACCCTCAGGGACCCCTGCCAGCATTCCTGGGGCCCCAGGGACTGCAGAGACCCTCTCGCCAGCACCCAGAACCCCCAGGGACCCTGTGCCAGCACCCAGGGAGGACCGTGCACCCCCGGGGGCCCCTGTGCCCGGGGTGCCCGCAGCCCCTCACCTCGGGGAAGTCACAGGCCAGCCCGTCGCCGTGGCAGGAGCCAGGGGGGGTCCCCAGGGAGAAGTTGAGGGCCCGGAGCTGGCAGGGCCCCACGGCCTCGGGGGTCACGTTGAGCTCCCGGGCGGCACATTCCCGCAGGGCCACGCGGCTGCAGGAGAACTGGGGGGGGGCAGAGGGGTGAGATGGTGCCCCACAGCCCCTCACAGCCCCCCACAGCCCCCTACAGCCCCCCCCAGGCCCCCAGGCCCCCCATGTCCCCACCATGTTGACGAAGGCAGCGATGAAGACGAGGAGGATGGTGAAGACGGCGATGCCGGTGCTGCGGGCGCGGGACTGGACGATGCTCCGGGAGAGCCTCTGCAGGGCGGTGGGGAAGAGCTGGGGGGGGGACACACACAGGAAAGACCCCGTCACTCCCAGCTGAGCCCCCCAAAGCCCCCCCCCAGCCCTCGGCCCGACACTCACGGTGACGCAGGAGTAGACGGCGCAGACGAAGAGGATGGCGGCGAGCACGATGAAGATGCTGACGTAGACACCGAGCATCAGCGGGGAGCTGGGGAGAGGTGGGGGGTGAGTGACGGGCTCGGGGGGCCAGGGCCGGGGTTTTGGGGGGGCTGCAGGACTCACTGGGGGAACACCAGGATCTGGAGGCAGCAGATGAAGCAGAAGACCAGGAGGGTACAGGCCACGTAGCCACCGAAACGGTCGTCGATCTTCTTGGAGTACTGAGGGGAGAGGGGGAGGTGGGACGGGGAGATCCCACGGGATGGGATGGAGGGGGACAGGGGGGACCCTGGGGGAATGGGATGGAGGAGGATTGGGGATACCTGAGGGATTCAGGGGATGGGATGGGATGAGACTGAGAAGGTGGAGGGTCCATGGACCAGCACACAGAGGATCCCAGGAAATTAAGGTGAGATGAGAAGGACAAAGGTGCTGATGGGGCCAGAACTGAGGGGACTTCAGGGGACAGAGGGGCCCTCAGGGCTGGGGCAGAGGGGCCAGAGGGCCTCCCACCTTCTTCTCCAGCTCAGGTGTCTGGAAGGTGAGCAGGAACTTCTTGACGTGGTCCTTGCGGAGCTGGTCGATGCTCCGGGCGTCGATGGCCCGGCTCAGGAACTCGTCCACCTCGTCCTCGGGGTTCAGGGCCTCCTGGGCACCTCGGCTGGGGACACGGGGGGGTCAGGGTCCCCCAAGACCCCTGTCTCTGCCCCAGGGAAGGGCCCAGCCGTGACCCCCCCAGCGCCCCGGCATGGGGACACTCACTTGTCCTTGCTGGAGTCATCGATGCCCTGGGAGACACAAGGAGATGGGGGTGTCAGGGACACTGGCACGGATGGGGGGGCCCCCCCACGGATGGCAAGGACATGGGGCATCCCCCAGGGTCACCCAGGATGGGGGGCAGAGTCCCAGGGGTCACCAGGATGGTGGGGGTGTCCCCAGGGGTCTGCAGAGGGAGGAGAGAGGGGTCTGGGGGGGGATGTCTGACACCAGTGAGGACGGGGGATCCTTGAGGGTCCCCAAGGCTGGTGAGGACGGGGGGATCCCTGAGGTCTGTTGAGGATGGGGAAGACACTGGGGGGGTTCCCATGGGCTGATGAGGACGGGGGGGCCACCCCAGGCTCCCCCGAGGCCTGCAGGCAGCAGGAGGAAGCCACAAGATCCTCGGGCAGGACTGGGGAAGCCACGGGCAGCCCCGGAAGGGCAGCAAGCAGCCGATACCGCCGTGGTGGGGCCCCCCCCATGCCCAATACCCCCCTCCCCGAGGCCACTCACCATCTGCCGGAAGGCCTTGGAGTCCTTGGTGCGGGAGAAGGAGCGCTCGGGCACCCAGCGTGGCACCAGCCCCTCGGTGGAGTTGGCACGAGCGCGCTGCAGCTTGGCCAGGATGGCCTTCTCCTCCTTCTGCAGGGGGGACGCACGGCCGTGAGGAGCAGGGGGGGACACCCCGGCTCTCCCACCCTCCTGGGACCCCCCCCCCGACCGTCCCCCCCCACTCACGCGCTTCTGGCTGCAGCCCACGATGAGGAAGGTCTCGATGTTGTGCTCCTTGAGGTAGGCGTTGCGCTCGCCCCCGTGCCCCGGCTCCACCTCGTAGTCGCCGTTCAGGTACTGCAGCGTCGCCCAGGTGATGTGGATGCGCCTGGGGACGGGGTGGGGGGGGGAAGGACGTGAGCCCTTACCCCCCTCCACACCCCCTGCCCCCGTCCCCCCCTCCGTCCAGCCCCTCCCCAGCCCGGCTCACCCGGCTTTGCCTCCTGCTTCCATGTGGTTGGCGAGGGTGACGTCGTTGGACCAGACGTCGAACTGCCACTTGCGCAGCCCCAGGACCCCGCAGTGCACCCGCCCGCTGTGGATGCCCACGCGCATGTTCACGTTCACCCCCGTCACCTCGCGCACCAGCCTGCGGATGGCACCGGCACCGCGTCACCCCCGGGCACCCCCGGGGCACCCCCGGGCGCCCTGAGGCACCCCCTGACCTCACGGGATTCCCGGACACCGTGGCACCCCCGGGCATCACCTGGTGCACCCCTGGGAACCCCAAGGCTCCTCCCAGCACCCCTTGGCACCCTCAGGCATTCCAAGGCAACCCAGGGCCTCACGGGCACCCCCAGTCACACCATGACACCCCCGGGCACCATGACCCAGACCGGTGAGCACTGGGGAAGCGCCAGCGCCAGCACCAGGAACGGGCACAGCCCCCCAGCATTGTGGTGGCACCAGGGACACACCAGCAAGAGGGAATGGGCACAGACTCCCAGCTTCGTGGTGGCACCAGGGACGCGCCAGCACTGGGGACGAGGCACCGTCCCCACAAGTCGTGGTGGCACGTGGGACCTGCCAACACCGGGGATGGGCACCGGGGGACGGGCACAGCCCCCCAGCCCTGCCCCACTCACGAGATGGCCTCGATCATGTCGACGCCCATCTCGACGCAGCAGTGAGCGTGGTCCCCCCGCGCCTCCGGCAGCCCCGACACGCAGTAGTAGCAGTCCCCCAGGATCTTGATGCGCAGGCAGTGGTTCTCCTGGGGGGCACAGGCGGGTCAGGGGGGCTCTGGGACCCCCCCAGGCCCCCCCGGCCCCTCCACTCACCGCCGCCAGCTTGTCGAAGCGGGCGAAGAGCTCGTTGAGCGTCATGACGAGCTCCTGGGCCGTGCACTGCGAGGCCAGGCTGGTGAAGCCCTCGATGTCCGCGAAGAGGATGCTGCAGGGAGCAAGGGCGTGGGCTGGGGAGGGTCCACGCGCTGCCCCGGACCCCCCCCCCTCCTGACACCCCCAAAACCTCACCCGCACCCCCATCCCCCCCCAGTACCTGACGTTGTCGTGCTTCTGGATGTAGATCTTGTGGAACATCATGTCCTCCTTCTTGGTGTTGATGTCCTCCTTCATCTCCATGGCCACGTGCTGCGGCAGCACCGAGAGCAGCAGCCGCTCCTGCACCCACAGCAGCGTCATTAGTGGGGGGCCAAGACCTCTGGGACCCCCCCCAGCCCGGCACAGGGACCCCTGGGACCCCCCCCAGCCCACCTGCTGCCGGTTCTCCCGCTGGAGGTGCAGCCGTGCCTGGATGTAGCCGCGGGTCTCCTGGAAGGCCTGGCGCTGCGACACCTCGGCGGGGTAGTGGGTGCAGACCCCCACCACGTTGGTGCAGAGGAAGATGAGGGCGTTGGCGCTGAGCTGGGAGGGGGAGGTTGGCTCAGCGTGACCCCCCCCAGCCGGCTCTGCCACCCTGGTCTGCGCCCCAAAACCCTGCCTCTGGTATGGGGGGTGTGGGGCAGGGAGGGACGTGGGGACCCAAGGCAGGGGGATGTGGGGACGCAGGGACCCGGGGACACAGGGGACAGGGGGACCAGGGGGCCATGGGGATGTGGGAAACCAGAGAAGGGGGGATATAAGGATGCAGGAACCCAGGGCAAGGGGGACACGGGGACCTGGAGCAGGGTGGGTCACGAGGACACCCTCTGGAAGCGGAGGAAGTCGGGAAGCAGAGATGGCTGCAGTGGGAGCTGCGGTTTCCCCCCTGTCCCAGTCCCCCGGGACCGGAGCCAGGGCTATTTATAGCTCTCCAACACACTGGGAGGGGGGGCCTCGCACCCCCCAGCCCCCTCACATCCCCCTGGAAGCCCCATCGCTCCCGCCCTGCGGGGGTGAGCCCCACCCCGAGGGGCTGCCCCTCCCGTGACCCCCAAAGCCCTGCTGGCCTCGGATCCCCCCTGTCATCGAATTCCTCGCCCTGTGCCCCGCGGGGACGACACGTGGCCCCAGCCCTGGCCAGGCAGGGCGAGGGTGACGGTGACGAGTGGCCCCGTGCAGGGAGGGGGAGCAGAGCAAGGGGCTGCCGGGGCTGGGAACACCCAGCCCTGGGGATGGGGGACCCCTCTGTGCCCGCAGCACCCCACTGGGAGCACCCAGCACGCCAGAGGGGCAGGACAGGGGACACTGCCAGCGTCCCAGTGCCCTGGGTGACAGCCCTCCCCCCCCTGCCCTGGCCCTGCATCTCCTCCTCGGGGATTTCCGCCAGCCCCACAACAGGGGCTTTGTGGGTGCCCCCCTCCCGCGGTGCAGCCCACAATGGTGGGTCTGTGCCAGGATGAGGGGCCCCTCCTGCCCCATGGGGGCTGCGGCAGCAGAGAGACCCTTGGTCTCACCACAGGCCCCTGGCACGGGACCTCCCCCGGGACCCCTCCACCCCCGGGCAGCCAAGGGGCCCCTCCCACGTCCAGAATTTTCCGCCACCAAGTGCAAAACCACCCCAATTTGGCAGAAAGGGAAGCGGGGAGCCGCCGGGTCCCGCTTGGGGGTTATACCCACAGGCGGGCAGGACCCCCTGGGCTCAGCCCCCCGCCCCGCCCTGTGCGTGTGTCCCCCTTTCCCTACCTGCTTCCAGAGGAAGGGGTCGGCGGCGTTGCGGTGCCAGGCGATGGCGAGGTGCAGGGCGGAGAGCAGGACCCCGGCCAGCACGGCCGCCCGCATCCGCACCGGCAGCAGCGTGTACGTGATGTAGATGAAGAAGACGCTCCACCAAACGCCCTCGGCCGCGCTCCGGGGGGACACGGCCACCGTCCCCAGCGCCTGCACCCCGGCCAGCAGCCCCAGCACCACGTAGCTCACCACCCACATGTAGTCCTGGGGGAAGGCGCTGCGGCTGCACAGCACCATGAGGAGCAGGAACAGGGCCGTGGCCCCGGCCAGCGCGGCGGCCGCCGGCACGTGCGGGGCGCCGGGCAGGCAGAGGAAGAGCAGCATCACCCCGCAGACCAGCACCAGCACCCCCATCAGCACCGTCAGGCTGCTCTGGTTCATCTGGAAGAAGTAGCGCTGGTAGAGCCGCTCCAGTTTGGCCGACTGGAAGCGTTTGGAGCGGAAAACCTGGAGCAGCCGCCGCCAGCACTCGCCGGCCGACGGCCGCCCCCCGTGTCCCCCGACCCCCTTCGGGCCCTTGGCCTCGCCGTCCTCCAGGGCCCCGTCCACCGATTTGAGTCCCAGGTCGCCCGCAGGCCCCTTCTTGCCATAGTGGTCCTCCTGCCAGGTGCAGCGCAGCCCCCGGGGGGGTCCCGCGCCCCTCTCCATCTCAGGGTCCTGCAGGCAGCTCATGTAGCGGGGGCCGCAGAGGCCGGCGCGGGGCCGGGGGCCCTTCTTGCCGTTGCGCTCCCCCCATGCCGTCTTCCGCTCGTCCACCTTGGGCACCAGGATGCCGCTGAACCACGACATGCTGCGGGCACCGGGGGGGGTTCAGCGCTCGGTCCCCCACCCCGACACCCCGAGAGGGACCCCGGTGCTCACGGGGCTGCGAGGCCACGCAAGGGGCAGAGTGTCCCGGTGTCCCGCTCCACCCTGGGGGATGCAGACCCCAAGTCCCAGCTCTCCCACCACCTCCATGGCCCCTGTGGGAACGGCCGGTGCTGGGTTCCCGGTGTCAGAACCCCGGTGCCGGGTGCCCGGTGCTTGGTGCCCGTATGCCAGTGCTGGGTTCCCGGTGTCCCGGTGCCCGGTGCGTGGCCCTGCCGAGGCCGCCCCGAGCCCGCCCTCCCCGGCGCAGCGACCTGCGACAAAGCTGGGACCGACCCGGGCGTCCCGGCCCTGTTTGTCTTGAACGGCGGCCAACGGGCTGCACCGGGCACGGCCGCCCCGGGGCACCGGGAACCAGCCGGGACGTGGCAGCCCGGTCCCAGCCGGCCGCGGTAGGAGCGGGCGAGCGGCGGTGGGGAACGGACACCGAGAAGGGCCGGCCCCGGTGGCGGCGGCCGCCTCTCTCCGTCCCTCCCTCCCTCCCTCCCTCCCCGCTCCGGGCACGGGAGCCCCGCCGAGCCCGGCCCGTTCACCAGGACCCGCCAGCGCCCTCCCGCCGCCGCACCGGCCGCTCCCGCCGCACCGACAGCTCCGGCCGCACCGGGACCCCCCCGCCGAGCACCGCACAGCCCCCCCGGCGCCGCACCGCTCCCGCCGCCCCGGGGACCAGCCCGGTGTCGCCCCCCCGCCCTAATCCCAGTCCCACTCCCAATCCTAGTCCCGGTCCCGATCGCGGTCCCCGCCGCCGCCCCGATCCACCTCCCCCCCGCCCGCCGCCGCTCCCGGTGCTCCCGGTCGGCCCCGCTCACCTCCGCCTCCGGAGCCGCCGCCCGCGGGGCCCCGCGCCCCGCCACGGCCCCGCCGCCGCCCGCTCCTACACGGCGGCCGCGCCGCGTCCCCGCCGCCCCATCCCGCGCCCAGGCCGGGCCCCCGGTGGCGGTGGCGGCCCCGGTCCCGGTCGCGCAGCCCCGGCCCGCCCCGGCCGGTGCCCGCCCCCCCCCCGCCCGGATCCGCTCCCGGGCGCTCCCGGCCAGCGGCCTTAAAGGCGCAGCGGCGGCGGCGGGAACGGCCCGGTACGGCCCGGTACGGCCCGGAGCGGCGGGGGAGGCGCGGGCGGACCCGCACCCCCGGGGGCTGCGCACACGCACACGGACACGCACACACGGACACGCCGCGCCGCGGCGACATGGCGGGGACAGCGGGGACACGCGCGGCCGGGCCCCCCGTGTCCGCACTCCCCGGGCCCCCCCGTGTCCGCACAACACCCCTCTCTGAGTGTGTCGCTTGCACGCCCACCCCAGTGCCCCTCCGTGCCCCCCCTTGCACACCCGCCCCGCGCGCATCCCCGCACCCCCCCTTGCACACGCACACGGCGCCCGCCCTTGTGCAACACGCACGCGTGTGTACACACGCACACGTATCCCCCCGCACGCCCCTGGCGTGCACACACACACCTCTTTGCACAAGCACACACCTCTTTGCACAAGCACACGCCGCCTTGCACACACACACACGCACACGCATGTTTTGCATCCCCCCTTGCACACACACCCCCCTCCTTGCACACACACACCCCCTTGCACGCTCACAACCCCTTGCACATTTACATCCTTTCCATACACACCCCCCCTTGCACACGCGTGCAGTCCCGTTGCACACTCACACGTGCACCCCTCTGTGTGTGTGTGTGTGCCCGCAAACACGCCCGGATTCCCCGGGCACACACACCTGGGCACACCTGGCGTGCGCTCAGGGACGCGTGCACGGCCCCCCCTTGCACACACGCATCACACAAACGCACCTTGCACACACACCTGTACACACACACACACACCTGTACACACACACACAGACCTTACACACAGTCCCAACACACCCCCCCTCGCACACACACCCCCTTACACACTCACAGCCCCCCCTTGCATGCACACACCACCCTCACACATCCCCTCACACCCTCACAGTCCCCCTCACACACACAAGCCCTTTGCACACGCACCCCCCATTTCCACGCGCCCCGTGACCAGTTCGCACAGGGCACCCCCTCACCGTGGTCCCCGCCAGCCCCCCACCCCCGTACCCCCCGAGTGGGCGTGGGTCATGCCTTGGCACACACACTCCCGTTCCCGGACCCCTCCGTGCCCCCCCTTCCCTCCCCCGCAGCGGCGGCGCCGGGCCCCGCAGCCCCCCCCGCCCTGGCGCCGGGCCCCGGGGAGCGCTGATTAATCATTAATTAGCAGCCGCCGGCGGGGCCGTGTCCCTGCGGCCCCACGCGGAAGTCCCGCCGCGCGGGGGGTGGGGGGGGCCCACGCTGGGTCTCCGTGAGGCTCCCGGTACCCCCCTCCCCGCAGCCCCCGCGCCCGCCGCTCCGGTCCGGTGATGCTGCAGCACCGGAACCGGCCGCCCCCGTGGGCATGGCGGGGACACGGGGCGTGGGGTAGGTGGGCTGCGTCCCCCCACAGCCCCGCCCGCCCCACGCGGGGGTCTACGGGGGCAGGTACCCTCAGGGGGGTATATACCCCCCGGGGCGGGGGGGCAAAAACCCCCGGGCGGGGGAACACGGTGGGGTGCGGGTGGTGGGGCTCCCGCATCCCCTCACACGCGTGAGCACGGCCGAGGGGTCTCCTCTTTCCCGGTCCCGCCCGGCTGGTGCCCGCAGCACTGCGGGTTGCGGGGAGGGTCCGTTCCCGGTGCCCTCCGGTGGCTGCCCAGCTGCGGGGGCGCGGACCGGCCGCCGCGGGGATGGGCGCGGGGGCGGGCAGGCGGGGGCGGGGACGGCCGGGACGCCCCGGCGGCCCCGTGTGATGCGGAGCGCGGCAGTGGCGGCGGCGGCGGCGCGGCCCTTCCCCGCGGAGCGCCGCGGTCCGGTGCGGGGCGGCCCCGCCGGCATCCCGGGGGCTCCGGTGGGTGCCGCCGGGGATGTCCGCCCCGGCGCAGTCTGACGCTCCCGGCTCCTTCCAGGTGAGCGGACCGGAGCCCTCCCGGCCGTCGCGGGCCCGGTGCGGCCCGGTTCGGTTCTTCCCGCAGCGCGGGGGGCCGCCGGTGGCAGCGCCGCGGCGGAGCCACGCCGCCCGGTGCCGCCCGGTGCTCACCGGCCGCTCTCCCCGCAGAGCCCCCGGAGGCTCCCGAAGCGCAAGAGCCGCTTCAAGCGCTCTGACGGCAGCACCTCGTCCGACACCACCTCCAGCATCCTCCGCAGGCAGGTGAGCGGGCCGGCACCGGCACCGACACCGGCACCGGGGCGGGGCAGCCCCACCAGCCCCGGGCCCGCCGCCGTTGCGGCTCCGCATTAAGGCAGGGACCGGGGGTGCGGAGCGGGGAGCGGCCGAGCATCTCCCACCCCAACCCCTGCACCGGGAGGAATCGGGCGGCCGCCCCCGCCCCGGGGGACCGGGGCTGGGCGCCGGCACCGGGCGCCGGTGGCATCGCAACAGCCGCTCCCCGCGGCTAAAAATAGCGAGTGCTGCGTCAGGGCCGGGCCGGCGGCGGGCACCGGCACTGCGGCGCGGGGGGCGGCCCCGGGAAACTGAGGCAGCGGAGGGGGAACGAGCCGGGGCGGGGGGGGCCGCGGGGCCGCCCCGCCCGGTCCATCAGCCGGCACCGGGGCCGGCTCCGCGCGCTGCCCGAGGGGGTACGGACCCCCCCGCCGCCCACCACCCGGTGCTCCGGTTCCCCCCGGCGCGAGCTGCGCCCCCCTCCCCGGCCGCCGGCGGGGGAGCGGGTACCGGAGCGGCCTCGCGGAGGGCGGGGGATTCCGGTGGGGGAGGCCCCGAGGGCCGCAGAGCGGCCCGAGCATCCTTTTTCCGTCCCAGGGTAGCACCTGCTCCTCCGGTACCCCGGTACTCCCCGGTACCCTCAGGGACCCCCCGTCCCGGCCCAGCACCCGGCGCGGCCCCTTCAGCACCTCGGAGAGGGCCCGGCCGGGCCCCACCGCGTGTCCGGTACCGGGGCCGGTGCCCAGTGCCCCGTGCCCGGTGCAGGTGCCCGCGGCCCGTCACGCCGCTGCCCGGAGCCCTCGGCCCGCCGAGCGCTGCCCCGCGGCCCCCGGGCCGGCCCCGAGCGCTCCCGGGCCGGTCCCGCCGGTGGCCGTCCCGCTGCACGGTAACGGGGAGGGCCGGGCCGGTCCCCCGGGGCCCGTCGCTGCCCCCCTCCTCGGAGGCGGGGGGGGGGGGGCGCGGCGGGGGGGGGGGAGCGGCTCCGGCCCCGCCGCAGGGCTCGCCCTGCAGACGGGGCTGCTGCCGGCTCGGGGCAGGACCGGGGCCGCCGCACCGGAGCATGGAGGTACCCCCCGGGACCCCCCCGCCGCCGCCCCGGGACCCCCGGCCGGCACAAACCCTCCGCCGCACCCCAGGACGCCCCCTCCCCGGGAGCTTTGCCCTCTTGCCAAACTACCCCCTCACACACGCGCCGCTACCGAGAGCTGCCCCGGTGCCCCGTCCCGGTGCATCGCACCGGGACCGCTCGGGACCCCCGGCTGCCAGTGCAGCCCCCCGGGGGGAGCTGCACCGGGGAGGGACCGGAGCCCCCCGCCAGCACCGGGAAGAGGGAACCGCGACCCCCGACGCCCCCCCGCCCCCCGGGCTGAGCGGCGGGGGCGGCTCCGTGCGCCCCGGGGGGGCGGTGGGAGGCGGGGGCGGGGAGGGGCGGGGAGGGGCGGCGGCGGCGGCGGCGGAGCAGGCAGGGCCAGCCGGAGCCCGAGCCGCAGCCGGAACCGGAGCCGGTGCCGGTGGAGCGGGGCGGGGGGGGGGGCGCGGGCGGCTCGGCTCGGCTCGCCCCGTCTATGTCGTTTTCTGACTCCAGCGCTACCTTCCTGCTCAACGAGGTACCGGCCCCGGTACCGGCTCCGGTACCGGGGGGGCCGGGGCGGGCCGTGCCCGGGGGGCCGCGGTGGGAGATGGGGGGAGCTGCGCCCCGGGGGGCGGTGATGGCGCACGGGGGGGCCGTGCCCGGTGCGGGCGGTGTTGGCCGTGCCCGCTGAGGGGGTTCGTGCCCGGTGCGGCGGAGGGGGGAGGGCTGTGCCGCCCCCCCGGGCCCTTTGTTCCTCGCCGCCGCTTTTCCCTCGATCCCGGCAGGTGCGACCGGGATGGGGACCGGGTTCGGGACCGGGATGGGAGGATCCCACCCCCCGTGACCGGGGACCCCGCGAGGGCCGATGCTCCGGGCCTGGGGGGGGGGCTGCATAGGGGGGGTGTCGTGGTGTAGGGGGGGCGGCACTGGGAATGCTGGGGGGTGATGTCGTGTCTGGGGGGCGCTGGAGACGCTTTACTGGGGGTCGCACTGGGGATGCTGGGAGGGGGGGCCGCTGGAGACGCTGTAATGGGGGCCCGCACTGGGATGCTGCGGATCCATACTGGGGATGCTGGCGTGCCCTAGTGGGGATGCTGGGGGGGTGGGGGCGATGCTCGGGGAGGGGGGGGAGGCGGTGACGATGCTGGGGGGCCGTGCTGGAGAGGCCATATTGGGGGGGGGCATGCTGGGAAACCATATTGCCTGCGGTGGGGTGGGGGGGACCACGGCCCCCCCCCGATGTGAGCGGGGTGGGATGTGCAGGGTGGGAGGCCCCGTGTGCTGGCGCGGGGGGGGCGGTGCTGGGCAGCGGCGCTGAGCTCAGCCAGGCAAGGCCCGTGGGGCCTCGGGGGGGGGTGGTTGAGGTTGGAGGGGGGGGCTCAGCTCCATCCAGGGACCTATAAATATTTCACCGCGGCTTCTGCGCCTGTTCCGGGCGCAGCGGGCGGTGGGTAAATACCAGCGTGGCGGGGGGGGGGGAGCCGGGGGGGCTGCGCTGAGCACCCCGGGGTGGGGGGGACACCGGCAAGACCCACATCCCCATCGTGACAGGGACCCCTGTCCCC